GTAGGAAGACTTACAGGAACGCACCTTGTCCTGAGTCCATTGTATGCATAATTATTTCCAAAGTCGGACCATGGACGTGGTACAATCCCAGACGTTTCGCCGGCATCGTCAGTGAGTTTTACCATTCGTAGCACCATATTACAACTCGTTTTGTATCTTTGACGAGTTGCAATATGGTGCTACGAATGGTAAAACTCACTGACGATGCTGACTATAATGCCGGCGAAACGTCTGAGAATGTACCACGTTCATGGTCTGACTTTGGAAATAATTATGCATACAATGGACTCAGGACAAAGTGCGTGCCTATAAGTCTACCTACCAATATGACCAAGTTGCAAAAACTGATAGGTTAAGTTATATAGAAAAAATTACGGTTGATTTAAATGACTCATAAACATACAGACTTTTAGTAAAGGATCCTACAGAGATTCTTAGGGTCAGACTTAGGCAATTGCTTAACGTTTGTGTAAGCAAAGAAGAAATCGAGAGGTGAAAAATAAATTCACTTCTTAAAAGGGATGTTAGGGCATCTTCAGTTTAGGGCCGTCCAAAGATATACAGGGAGGGAGTTCCTTTAAGATTGATTGTTAATAATACGGAAAGTGTGATGCATAGGATTTCAAGAATCTTATGCAGACAAGTAAAGAAAGTGGATAAACATTGAAAATATTCAATAAAGATCTATGATAGATCAACAAAGTATACATATATATAAGCGAGGCATATATATATATATATAAATTCAACCAGTATCTCTATAGAATGATTCTCCTCATTTAGAAAGTAAAAGTTTAGACCCTATTCCAGGGGGAGCTTAACACTATCACATATAAGTATACTGGATAAATTGAGGACTTTATTTTTGCCAAAACAAATAACACTAGGTTTACCTACATTTTATTGTTTTGACTATTCCTTGAATTGATTTTAATCTCTAAATTTCTCAATTTTTTATCATATTGGCATCTGTGAATCTTATCCATCCTTTACCTTAGACCGTTCGCCATATTCTGTCGTTTGAGAATGAGATGAGAGATGAGTAATTAAGCCACTTAAAAATCCTGCCAGTAAAAAACACAATGTAACCACAATTTACTATCGGCTTCCATTTGGTAGCTTGTGAAGCACAGAGGCAAAGATTGAGTACGGGAACCAGGCCCGAGACTGCGAGTTCATGAGCCGTGATAGCTGTTTCACCGACATCCAACAAGCTGGAAAGTGAGGAGAATAAGTTTTCCAGCTGAGTCAGCGCCAATAAGGCTCCTTTCACAGTATTGCTATCCCTTGAGGCGGAAGACTGCTCCACATCAAAAACAGACGCCCCAGAATGGATTGAGCCAGTAGCAGCTAAATGAATAATCTGATTGGCAATCCATTGCAACCGAAAGAGGTTGGTATCCGAGGCGGTGAGTGAAGAATGAGCATACGTTGGCCTTGATGGGTTCAAGGATGATAAAGTATTCATATCACCTGTGGTTGCATTGGCTGATGTAGTGCAAGCGTGAGAGATGGAGTCGCGTACAGAGTCTGTAGATAGCGGAAGTTGGTAGGCCAAAATGCGGCTTGCCAGATGTACTATTTGAATGTGAACATTTCGTTCACTAGAACTAGTGGCTTCAGGCTCACTCGATTTTTTCCTAAGGGGAAGAATTAATAAAAATTGGGGATCGAAACAAAAAAATCATTTATAATAAAGGGCCTCCAACACGCTTGAAATCACTCAAAATGGAGCTAGAAACTAGACGCTTTTAAATATAAATGTAAAATTTACTTGCACTGATTTAGAGCAGGAAATGTGGTGTCGAAATTTTTTTATCAATAAGTAAACTAAGAATTTTTTAAACAAATAGATTTTTTCCCTCTTTCCAAATCACTCAATAAACAAAAGACTTCTATTATGTCGTCTTAATATAGTCTTGAGGTATGGAGTGGAAATATTTCATATGGTTTTGGCATAGTAAATTCAATCAAGTCTGGAATGCCCAAATCTTAGATAATTTGACAAAAGGGAGTAAATAAAAATGATTAGTCTGAAAAGTTTGGGATAGCCAACAAAATAATGAGATCGATTAAAATAATTAGATGTTTTATTAAAAGAGTGAAATAAGGCGTAGGAAGTGGCTTTGGCAGGCCACTTCTCCCTGTTTTATTTTGGAAAGTTTTTGCAAACGATTGTCTTTCACATAAAACAATAAACTTCGCAATCAGTCATTAATCACTTTAAACGATCTAGGGTGACTATGAACTACCGATAGTCTTGAAATCCTAATGAATAGGAATGAAAATAACGTAGTGCAAATAACTGTTATAGCAAATACATGTTTGCCTCAGCGAAAATCCCACAATAAAAATGTGATAAAAGAGGACTAGCTTGCCCTGAAAGTCACTCCACTGACATAAATGACATCGTGGCGTAGTGGAAAGTATATGCTGAATTACACGTATTCGATTCCTGCAGGGGTTGTTGATGGGACCCAGGCAAGGAATAAACTGAATAAGAATGGCTTTTAGGAAGCAAGTCAGTGAAAGTCAATCACAACGTAAGGCCTATGCATCTCACTATGGGAAAAGTCATTATCAGTTCTTTATCAACTTAAGTGACCTATGGTGTCTAAAGCACTTACTTATAATTATAGAATGGCCACAGCTAAGCACAAAATTGAGGCGGCTATCTAAATCAGGACTATGAAATATAGAGTATGTCAGGAATACAGGTTAAACAAACATTATACAGTTAAATGAGACTGAGACCAAATCTAAAACCACACTATCTTAGTCTTCAAAGAAGAGACTTAAGCGTAATGAATGAAGCTAGGGATATAAAGGGTGCTGATTCGCTTAAAAGGCATATAAGTTAATCATTGTATTGCAGCCAAACGGCTGCAGTACAACGGAATTAATCCCTCCTCTTCTGGTAAAATCGATCTACGAATCTGTTCATGCACTTTTATACGAAATGAACGTCCCCCCAACAATAGTTTTCTTGAATTAGTTGTAAGGATGGTACTCTGATCTGATGATAAATGTCATAACAGAGGAAAGTTAAGCACTCCAGCACACATTATACATTGTTTGAAAAGGCAGAACTCGTAAATTAGTCTCAGCGAAAGTGGGAGTCTTCGGGCTGCGACTGTTGCCGTGTGTGAAGACAAAGAATGAGTAATGAACTTTCATCTGTCAGCCAGAAACTATTATTTACAAAAAATCTAACAAAACACTAAAAGATAGGTGGACTGCATACTTCGCAAAAATTAGGTCAGAAATCCTAGACTAATTTAGGTATCCCGTTCAATTGCATTTTCAAACAAAATTATAGGAACGATAACATGAAATAAGATCTTTTTGTATAAAATGACTTATAAATAAATTAACTGAAAAATTAAAAGTCCGACAACAACTAAAGAACATTCTTACTCTTGATTCAACTGGGGCAAAGTGGTGTGAGCATGGATGGTCAGCCTATCGATCAGAGGGCCGGAACGATACGTATCAAGAATGATGCGGTCAGGAAAAAGCAGCTTGTCAAGACGAATCAATTCCTCATCAAGAAAATTCAAATCATCGCACTCCCCGTCAATACTTTTTTCGTTTAATGACTCTTCTTGACATTCAAAAGACTCTACATTTGGGAAATTCCCTTGCTCCAACGTCTTATAAGAAGCAGGGGAATGGACTAGTTTAACAAATTTACGAGTTTGACTCATAGTGGAGATGGCAACTGGAGTCTGGTCGACAGTCGAAGAGCTATCCTGTTGGCCTACCGTGGTAACTAGGTTGTCAGATTCCGATTTATTGGCATGAACAGGTGGCGAAAGAAGCAGGCCACTACTGCCGAGAAGAAAACGGTCGTAGTCAGGGTATGTTTCAGCCATGGCTAGCTGACTATCGTGAGCGTAGCGGATGCATTCAAAAGCAGCCTGGATGTCAGCTTCCTTGATCGCCATTGCCATCGCCTCTTCGTGGCCCACAGATATTTCAGCAGTTGCAGATGCCCCAGCTGGATCGTCAGTAGACTGGACCTCATCGACGGTGTCTTCATCATCGTCGTCAGCAGACAAAGTAGCAATCTCCTCGATAGCAGCACCCTTTTCACCATCTGCCAAGGCCACAATGATAACTGGCACCTCGTCAGTCTCCTCCGTCGTTGTGGCAATAATGCTAGATACATCAGATGGCGAAACGGGAGGCAGATCGGATGGCTTGTCGTCCGCTTCAAGAGTTGAGTTAGGTAATGATGGTTGTAGTGGTGATGAATTCGGGTAACGCAAAATGCCAGCAGTGCTATGTCGACGTCTTCCAACACCTGTCGAGCAGGAGTTGCGCCAAGTTTTCCTTTTATATGCTGAACTTGAACTAAGCATAGCGTCAGAAGACAGCTGCTCAGAACCAGCATTAATTGCTGGACGAACAATATGGTCACTGTGTTGAGAAAAGTGGGAAAACTGGCTAGAAGGTGGCTGAATAAAGGAGCCTGAGCGACGAGCAATTCGGATACGAGAAAAGCCGTTCATGCGTTTTGGGGCTAGAAGAAGGGCTTCATGTATTTTAATTGGGGTCAATGGAGTAGTGGAAGATATGGAAGTCTTACTGATGGTACTAAGATGGGGTTCTATTGGCTTAGAAGGCAAAGGTTCAATAAGCAGGTGGGGAGCCCTTAAAGTAGCTGGAAGCAGCTCATCCTGAAAAATACGAAGGCGAAGGCGACCAATCGTAATTTCAGGTTCAGTCGGCCCAGTTGAAAAAAATGGGTGGGCAGAAGATTCTAAGGTTCCCGCAGAATCTTGGACACTAGATGAAGTCAAAGAGGGTGGATTTTTTGAGTGAGAATGCCGAAGTGGGAAGCAAGCAATCGCTGGTGAAGAGGCCTGCCGACTGAGATGATACATAGAGCAAGGTCGATTTGGACTGGTCGAAATGCGTGGTTTTGGATGCTCTTTTTGTCTCTCCTGTTCGTAATTAGTTAAAACTCCTGACAATTTTCGAGGTGGCATAGAACCATTGTCCTGGGTAGCTTTCTGTGCCACCAAATGTGAGAAGATTGGTAGGCTGTCCGTTACAGAAGTGCCGCCACCACAGTAGTAGAAGCCAGTAGATGCAGGTGTTATTGATCCATTGATACCTGAAATCGACGGTTCCATGCCCAGGAGGCCAGGACTGACCGCACCGTCATTGTAAGGATTATTTGGGCGGATCTCAGAAGATTGGGGATAATGATGCGCCATCTGCTGAGTGTAAGAATGATGGTGCATATGAAGTAGAACATTTGGGGGCCGACGTAGCCCAAGGTGCATGCCAAGACGGCGCCAGTTTAAGCGCGACTTGATGTAGCAAGTGGACGAAGTGCGAACGGGTGGCAGGCCAAGTTTTGCGGCAGCAATAGAGTCTTCAGCAAAATCACATCTTCGAGTAGGTCCTAAAGCCGTCGAAGGTAGAACTAATGGCAATGATGGAGAGGACTCTTGCTGAAGCCGTAGTTTTTGCGATGAATTTGCGCTTGTTTGTTGCAGACTATCAGTAGACGTGACAGATCCAATAGCCTCAGAGATAGGGCGCCAATGATGAGTATTTTGGCTTTCTTCTGAGGATTGAAGCTGAGCTGCCAAGTCCTCGGGTAATCGGGGTCCGCACAAAGTGCTGGAGGGGGCAGGACATAGATTGCTGAACAGATTGGTGGAGGTATTCACTGTGTTTATAGGAAGATGACTAGTAGTAATCATTTTAACGAGTCTGTTATATAGACACAGCAGACGGGGTTTTAATTCTGAAAATAAACAGAAAGATATAAGGGGCGATATTTCTAGTTCTAGTTCTGCTGTCAGTCTGAGTTGTCCACAAAATAAGTGCAATCGAAGAGATTGCTTAGTAAAGTCGAAAGTAATAAATGCCATATACAATAAAGTGAAACTTAGCTCAGATAACAACAGTAAGAATGCATTAATGGCTGACAGTGAAACTTAAATAAAACGTTGATAACCTTTTACAAAAACAGAGATAAAATGTAATGATAATCGTATAC